TAGTCACTTCAGGATTTCTCCGCACCTCTCGTCCCTCAAAATCAACCTCTCTAAAATCATTTATATAAGGTAAGAATATCAAGGTGATCTAACACATATATAGACAACCAATATGCCCCTGAATAAGAAATTTGCCTAATACGATTTGGTTCAACATCGATCAACATTTAAGAAGGGTTTAAGTATGGCGCTCACCTTACACCCTTCTCCTGGAAAATGATCTAAAAGAAGTGCATGTCTGGTAATAGCAAGCGAAGAGTACAAAAGATTTTACTTTCTTGTTATCTTGTGTAGTCGAGTCTAACATACTAAACATGCCATAGAGAAACTACTTATCAGATTTGAAGTGAAAAGGAGATTGATTACCTGATCACAAAAGGATAGATCATCAGATTGAACTACATTTATAACACACCCCTCCACTCTTTCACACTCCTTTGCAAATATATCAGTAACTGAAGATGCGTTCTTGAATGACCTAGAATTTCTTCTCATTAACAAAGTCAATCTTATAATTGGCACACCCTTTTCATTAACCTCGATCCCTCTCCCTCCTGAGTTAATCCCACAAAAATTTCTAGCCTTACATCTTAACAAATCAAAAACCTTCAATTTGTTCTCCATCCCCATGGACCCCAAATCATGCCTCATCACAACTGCCTTCTCAAAACAGTAGGGCCCATCTCCTTGATCAAACCCTTCAACCTTAATTTCCCCAAAATTTGCCTTCATGATGTTAGAAACCCATGATCCCATTTTGAATCTGAGCTCACCCCAGTGGAATAAAACCCATCTTGTTGGCTTCAAGCACTGGTTCTTCATAGCCCACCTCACAAAAGGAGCTGTTGCACATAACCCATGCCACAAATTTTGGTGATTGTAATAAGTGTACGATACAAATGTTAAGCCCTTTAACACAATTGCAGATTCAGGCAGACTTTCTGGCCAAGCCAAAGCATATGAATTCTTGGTTCCATCATTTGTGTTCTTCCCCTTAATGCAAAGAAGCCTATTCTTAGATTTCTCTGAAGGAAAATACAAGTGTTCAGCTTCATTTTCCTCATGGGTATCATTCAAAGAACTCATAAACCATGTGTGTCCTGTCATTGCAGAATCTACGAACCTGTTGAAAATAATATAAATAAATAAATTAGTGGACCCTCTAACTGTCTAAGCTAGTTCAAACTTCTAGACGAATAATTACCTGAGGTCCTTAAGGGGCAGCCAGGTGATGGAATCTCTAAGCTTTTCAACCATGGTGTCAACTGGATTATTTGAGCGGGAAAAAACCCAAGTGGAGGAGAATTCAGAAGATGGAGATTTTATGTGAAAAAGAATGATAATTCCAAATAGGAAGAGAAAAGAAGAAATCAATTGGGCTGAAGATTTGGCTATATTCCCCATTGTTGTAATACATTTGCATTGGAAATTGAAATTTTTATATACAAATTAGAGTTTTCCATTACTCTATGCGCTGACTTCTGTACATTTTTTTAGTAGTAATTTCTTGAGTATAGGTATTGAGACTTAAAATATGCTAGTAAAATATTGATATTCATCAGTAGCAGGTTGGTCATAATTTTACCAAGTTTCTATCTTGTATCCCCACATAAATAAAAGAGTGATTTTGGTGTCACTGTTCCTAAGTTGGTTGGCTAATTGGAGGCGGCTTGGAGCCGATTGACCCCTCATTTGGCCGAGCCGATTTCCACTTGACAGACAAAAGGGAGTGGTTTCCATCATTCCTTCTCCTTTTACTG